CCCCCGCCGGGGCCGGGCTCGACAACCCTGATTAGCACCTCGCCGACTGCCATTGGTCCTCCATCCGTCTCGAGGATGAAAGGTCGACCGACCTCGTCGTTGAAACACGGAGCGGCAAGGGTGACTTCTTCAGATGTGAGAATATTTTTCAGTCCTCTGGACGGCCGATTCCCTTTCCTCAGTCCAATCGAGCATGCCTTCTTCACGGATCATGGCTCGAATCGGTTCCGCTATCTTTGCGAACCCTTTTATGAAGATTCTCCAAAAGCCTACCACCCCCAGGAATGCCCTGACTTCTGTTTTAGTTCGAAGGGGCGTAAGCCACTGTGCCATCTTATCGGTCTTAGTCGGATCCGTTATGTTGTATTCTAGGAATCCTCGCAGCAGCTCTCTAATATCCTGCAGGTGGTCCCAAGTCCCCGGCTGGACTTCGGTCTCATCCTTCTCCCGTGCTCCTTTGACAGGGTTGCTGTCAATGTAGGGCTCACATTTGTCTGGGAACATGTCCCCGGCCACGGCGAGCATCCTCCTCTGTGCCTCTGCTACCGCATTAGTAAATCCCATAGGCGTGACCTGCATCTGCAACTGTCCTACTGGCGTATGCATAGCCGTGTAGGGCCTGTCTCGTGCGTCCAGCGGGAGCTGGTCGTATCCTGAGTTCAGATCTATCAAGGAGTAAATATTGCATCCGGCATGGGATTCGGCCAGGAGATCTGCCTACGGCAACGATCCCGCATCCCGGATGGTGACAACATTTAACTTTTGCAGGTCCTGAATCCACCTAAGTGACTTGTTGGGCTTGCGGAATACAAACCACTTGTTGGCATAAGGAGAGGCGGTGGGTTCTGCCACGAAGGAATGCATTTTTGCCCTAAGGAGCTCCGTCACTTCTCCTGCGATCCCAAAGTCGTAGGCCGGTCCCTTGTCATTCCAACACTCATGCTCGACTGTGTGGATCCTGACTGGTGGGATCAACTTAGCGTCCAGGCGCCCTTTTTGATGGTCATTGAAAGCGAATGCTAGGTGCGATTCTTGGCATACTTCTTCGATTGCCTGTGTTTCTTGCTCCGTCAGAAAACCCTTTACTCCGATCTTCATGGTTTGGGCCACCTCATCCGGTATCCTATGTCCTTCCGCCACCCTCCTTTCTCTAATTACCCGAAGAACCTCCTCCTCCTTTTCCATGGCCTCCTCCTTAGTCATCTCGAGTAGGATGGAGATCGGCTTTGCCTTCTTTCCTACTGCCTTATACCTCCGAACGCTTCCTTTCGGGATTTTCTTCCAAATTATGAACGGTCGGAGTTGCTAGCGGTGCTTCCACAATGCGGGGCTGAATACTGACCAGCTCCCCATTTAGGCAATAGCTTTTTTGGACCCTCTCCTCAAAGCGGGCGAGGGCGGCTGGGTCAACGGCCACTTTGTGGTACCTGATTGTTTTGACAAGCTGCAATAAGTCCGGGATTTCTAGTGTGACCTTATCCTTCTTATCCCGGATCTCCCCGTGCTTGGGCAAACTGGCTCCCAATTCCACCTCTGTTTCCTTCTCTACTACCATGACTCCCAGGGCGTCTTCGTCTGACCTACGTTTCTTCATCGGGAGTCCCATCTTGACCCATTCTTTCTTACTAAAGGCCTCTTCGATCATAATTTCCACCCTCTCTCTCATCCCTTCCATGCGTGCGAAAGCCCCCTTTCTAGCGCTCTCCTCAAAGGAGGGTGACCAGGTTGCGAGCTTCCCTTTTGGCGTGTCCGTCCATGACGGTCTTTCGTTGGAACGACCATATAGACTCTCTAACGCCGGCTTTAACCGCGCACTTGGTAACATAGTCGGAAAAGGGGATTTCCCCACTTGCTCCCCGGACACTCCCCGTGACCTCCTGGTTGATTGGTCACCCAACAATTGATGCAAAGTCCTTGCGAATGAGTGTGATTTCTGCCCCACCATCTACCAGTGCATCCGTATGGTGGGTGCCAATCTGGACTTTCAGTTTCCCTACCGGTAGCGCATGGAAACTCGGTTTCGTGCCAGGCGGTGCCCTCATGACTTCTCCGCCTTCTCAGTCTGGCAGACTTAGCCGGATGTTTGCGAAGGCCTTCTCTAGATCTTCCAGATCCCCGGGGGCCCTCTGAAGGTTTGCCACTTCCCGCGGTGGCTCCTCTTCCTTGCCTTTTTCGCGTACATCTGGTTCCTCCGCTACTTCCACCCTTTGCCTTGTTAGCAGTTGTCTTAGGCCCTTAAGTAGTCTAGGACTAGCCTGCAACATGGTCTGGAAGGAAACCGATATCATGGTCCCTAGCAACTGGCTAAGAGTGTGGTCTATGTTAGGATCGACAAGGATAGGGATCCGGTACTTGAATTTCTTCTTTGCGGATGTTACTTTGTCTACGGGCGCCTCCTCCCTAGGCTTGCCGTAAACTTTGTCCTGATCCGATTCTGCTGGCGGATTCGACCCTTCCTGCGCGTCTTCCATGACCGAGTCCTGAATTACCTTCTTTGTAGCACCCCGTTGTCTGTTGGTCATATTAACCCCGTCGCAGTCATCACTCTCGGTGATGAAGTTAACCTGGTGCCCTCGCCCGGGTGCCTGTCCCCAGGTAAGTTCCTCTACTGGTTCGGCCTCAACCGCGGCTGCATCCAGGTTGTTAAGTGCGATTACTGCTCTGCGCATCCCTCCCGGCGAGTTCCAGTTTACCCTCTCTCTGCGTGGCCCCAGGATTTCCCCGCGCAAAGTTCTAAAGCACCGCTTAAGGATCATATCGTGGTTAAGCCTAGGACACATGCGGGCAAAATGCCCGACTATCGTGGAGTACTTGCACTGCTCATTGGCCGGGTCCTTTCGATTATTACCGCGGTTGGCTATCCCTGGGGGTACGATTGCCTCTTGTGGCGGGAGGGGGGGTCGTACTGCTTGCGTTTGCGAGACCTGGGCTTGCATCACTAGTAAGGCATTCTCTACTCTCTCTATCTTGCCGTCAACCCCGTGGACCCGCTCGTGCAGGCTTTCGATTCCTTTCTTCACTTATCTCCAGTCTTGCCTGTCAAATTTATGATCTCTCCTTCTTTTAGCAGGCCCAACGAGTCAGTCACCACCATCTTCTCTGCAATATCCGTTATAGTGCTGAAATCTACGTCTCTAGTGTTCAGGAACTTTGTTGTCTGCTGGTAGGCGGACAAGATCTTATCTTTGTCAAACTCGGTGAACTGCTTTAGGAAGTACTTGCTCATTATTCAGTCCGTCACTCGGGGGATTCGTATGTTGCGAAATTCTTCCTCTACACTGTAGCCAGCTCCGCCTCCGTGGCCATCTTTTCGTCTGCTAAATACTTCCTCATCATCACGTCCCTGGCCTCTTTCCATGATCCGCTTGTTGCGACGATTGTCATTATGTCCCTACCTAGGTTTAGTGACACATGCTGGCCTAGGTGCTCCATCTTTTCCTCCTCGGTCCATCTTAGTAAGGCTGCTAGATTTTCATAATCGATTAGGAACTTGGTGATGTTTCCGCCATCGAAAGTCAGCTTTTTCTTGGCGTCGGCCAAGTATCCTTGGTTTTTGCTTAGAGAACGCGTGAGGGACGACACCACCTTCCTAAGCCCTCCCTCAATCATCTCAGGTCCTGTCTCGGAACTCGGACCGGCGCCTTCCTTGCAAAATTCGAGTTGCCCTTTTGGCTTTGCGATCCCTTCCGGGTCAAACCATCCAAGCACCCTTTACCTCAGGCTCCAGAGTCCCTTGCATCCTCTTGCACTTACAGGCGACGTCGAGGGTCGGCTTGCTCCGCTGTCCAGTAGGGGTGGATTGACTGGTCTATCCCTATCCTCCCTAAGGAATTCTATTCCTTCTTTTCCTTTCCTTGTTGCGGTGTCCCTCGTGTCTCTGGGCCGATCCTTCCTGTGTTGTGCATCCCCATCTTGGCTTCCTTGCTCGAGGTCCAGTTCCCCTTCTTCCCACGTCCTGTCATCAGTGGCATTTTTCTCGGCATCGTTCATGATCCCTTCCAATAGTTTTGCCTTGTATTCTGTCGTGCGTCTCTCTACTTCGGCTAGCTTTCTCCTTGCATCTGTTAGCCTGACCTTTTTCGGCTCCGCCCCCTCGGGCCGGACTCTCCCTGTCTCTGACTTCCTTGGTTCCCGGAGTCCCCCGTTTACTTCCCCCGCTCTTTCCTGAATCTTCCCCGGGCACAGCGTCCTTGCTCCTCTCCCTGTTTCCTAGTGACTTCGCCGACCCCCGATCCCTTAGGTCCCACTCTTCTTGATCTACGTCGTCCTCTACGTCCTGAAAGAAGGAATTTTTTTTTTGGCAATGTTTTCCTTCCTCTAGCCCTGTGATATGGAAGAAGGAATTTTTTTTTTGGCAATCGCACATAATTCTCTTAGCCTTTAGAATTGCCTATTTTTCACCCCTTTTTGCTCTTCCCTTTGCTTATCCTAGGTAT